ACTTACTTGGCGTGTGATGTCACTTATTGATCTCAGTGTATTTACGATTGATTTCCATTTCATTCTCCATATTTGTTGGATAGTAGATTTCTGTCTGAATTGTTAACTTCCAAAGTTTCTTGTTGCTTGTAATTTCTGACTGGCCATTTGATCTTCATTGTCGTGACAGGGAAGGTAGTTGTTGATGAAAGTGTGCAACTGGCTGTTGGCGATGCTTTTGGTGACATTCGCGTGAAGTGTGTGAACCATGTAGACGCACTCAATTGACATTAATTAGTGTTGAAAATTCAGATTTTGCTTCTTGTGATGAATGGTGTGATGTGGATCTCCAAAGTGAATTCAGAGTTATGAACATCCGTCTTCATCTTTTGATATTGAATGGTTTTAACATCGTTAACTGTGCTGTCGCCTTGTATTTGAGACATCTCTGTGGCTTTGAGGTAGGCAAAAGTTGTGACTTCCTACAGATTTCTCTTACTGGTGTCTAATGACTGATGTTAGTTGTTGGTGGTTGCATATCTTCATCACTTCTGTTTTCTATGTGTTTACGGCACACCATTGCTTTGCTGCCTCTTCTATAAGCTTATTGGCTTTTGTTTGTAAATCTTGCAGAATGTTAGAAATGAAACATGTGTCATCTAAGAAATCCATATTTTTGGTTGTCCTTTTGTATTTCTCTGTTTTCACTCATCACTGTCTCATGCGTGATTCAGTATATCTCAGTTAGGCAGGTCACTGTTGATATTAGATGGCACTGTTTTACTCTTGTCCCCTCTTCAAATGCTTCGAAGAGGTGTTTGTTGAGGTTTATTTTGCGTGTGGCATCATCATACAGCTACTGAATAACGTTAGCAATTGTTTGCGTCTCTGAACTCCACAGCACTGAAGCTGTTTCCCATTGAACTTCGTGGTGGATGTTACTGAAGGCCTTTCCAACAGTCTGTGAAGTTCTTGTGCATAGTTTGCTACCACTTTTCAATGTGTTTGATGATGATGCGTAGCGTTTAAATTTGATCGGCGCTTGTCTTTTTCTGAATCTAGTCTGTTTTGTATGAACTATTACATCTACAGCATGTTTTAGTTTCTCCAAAATGATACGGCTTTATATAGTGCTTGAAGTTGGCGGCCACATGATCCCACACAAGTTCTTGCATTGACCTAAGCCACCCTTTTTAGAAGTTTAACAATGTAACCCTCCTTCTAAACTGTCTGCAGATTCATTTCCTTCCTTCTGTACTTCTTGAATTAGTGTCATGAGGATATCTGTTGAGATCTCCGGATACATTTTCAACACTTGTGAAGGATTTCATCTAGCCAACAGATTTACGAAATTCTAAATGGTAAGATAAATATTAAATATTTAATGAACAATCACTAACCATTGCAATAACAGTAGATATGTGGTGTTTATCATCAGCAAACGTTATGGTTTTGATCTACTTTATCAGTATCCGATTAATGTGCTATACCGCGAACTACAAAGGTTAGAGTTAATGGGCCATTGGATTCCGCCCCAATGGCTGAATGGTCAACAATCTTGTCTTGTAACTCGAAGTCCCAGGGATTAACCTTTGGTGGGATCGTGGGTTCTTACTGCCGAAGAATCCCAAACTAGAATAAAACAGCTGTCCAGTGCTTCCTGGTTTTTAGTGGTTCTCTAACTGAAGTCATTTCCTCATCAGTCTTGAAGCCAATCAAATCCTTACACAAGATCACTTGAAAATACATTACTTAAGAGGTAATCATTAATCATTTCTGCCATATGTAAACAAATTCACAACTAACACATGTTGATGTAAGTTCATCCACACAAAGAATGTTTTTCTGATATTATTTTAGTAAATTCTTATTTGTTTTCATTCCACATAACCATATCATTTGGAAAGTATGCAAACACATTTAACCTCTACAGTGTTATCATGAAACAAAAAATAGGTATGACGCATGCACCACATTGCTTACAATCAATAAGTGATGAATCATAATTATGTTTAAAAGCAGTTATTCGGATATCCCTATTATAAACTGATGCACAGACAAATGAACCAAAAAAATATTCTTTCCGATAACATCTCCGGGTCCTACTGTTATGTATCCATACTAGCAAAAGAAGAATTAAGACGATATAGGTCAAGAAAGGTTATTCTATTCGTTACATTACATCAAGATGTTTTAAAAAGGTCATAGAAATGAAAAAGTGAGGTCAATTATTAATACGACCTGTTAACAAAGCATATGAAACTAAATATCACGAAAAAAACGAATAAACTGCGAAACTTGATGAAAGGCTCTTACGTAATCATGAAACATTAAGTGGTGAGTACTGCTCAAAAGTGGCTACATCAAAAACTATCAGCGTTTGAATGCGAGAATATTGTTTATAACAGTTAAAGATTGAGAATATGTATAAACTGTATTTGATACTTAAGAGTTTGGAATGAAATTAAAACCAAATGAATGAAAATGGATTGCATACCAAGTGACTTTACAAGTCATCGAAGGCCATAGTAGTAAAAGGGATTGAAGGAACTGCTTTTATTAACATGGTCTACGTTTTTCCTCGTGTATAGCAAGACCTTCCACTGTGGACAGAAGATTTAAACGGAAACCCTTAGAAACGACTTGGCCTTACTCTATGCCATTCTGCAAAATTTCTGTATTGATCCAGAATGATGTGTAAAAAAAGACGCTCAAGAACCCAACCATCAGTTGGCAATAGTTTTGGGATATGTTCCTGTGCATGTCTAGACGATATCAAAAGGAAAACTTCTACAAACCAAGAAATGTTTCTACATATCCTACTGAACGATGAATTTTATTTCGCATTCTATGTTAAAATAGTTTATAATTTTTTCAAACTGTCTGTAGGTGACCATTTTATCACGTGTCACATTTTACCCCCTTTCACCTTCATTTTATATTACCCAAGAGAATCACTTTTCTGACTTTGTCAGTCTCATGATCACTTTTTTGTCTATAACTCATCTAAGTGTTCACATCCACTTATGTTTATATCAAAAAATTATCTGGAAATCTGTCCTGTTACAGAATCAGGGAATGTTATGGAAGGGCTTTAAATGTTTTCACATTGCTTCATAAGATACATGTACACTAAAAGATAATGAGCATTATGTGTGTATGACCTGCAATTTTCCTTTCATATTTTCTTAGATATTCATAAATTTCAATGTTCATTGAGAAATGAAGGCGGAGAGTATATATAAACCAGATGCCATGACTGTGCACTATATGATGTCGTAGGTATATATTATGGAAGAGTCTAGAAACTAATCATACTTACATTGCTGTTTGAGAATATTAACTTTGAACAAACCAAATATCCATAAGACGTCATGCATACCTATTCAGAACTGTTTCTTTATATTTTCAAGTTTATGAAAACATAAGTGTAACAACCAAGACCAATATTATTTTTTTATTTTTTTATTATTTTGATTACAGCTTAATGCCACACCGTATTTTTAGGTACAAGTATGGAATTTTCAGCATGCGATATCGGTAGCCCAAATTTTGCAGGCCGACCATAGATATCGGGTGTGCGCCAGCAGAGGGTCGAACCTCGGACCATGTGCATGGTCGGCGAGAGTCCTAACCACTGTGCCACCGACGCAGGAGACCGATCTTTGAGTTCTACTGTACAGCTGATCGAAACCTCTTTGAGTTACTCATAGTCACAAAATACCCTAACAACAGCAAAACGACAGTTTTTTAAGACAAAATCTGAGGTACTATTCAGCATTCATAGTAATAAAAAAGCACAAATTACTTGATTAATGACTTTAGGAAGCCATACAAATCCAATAGTTTCCCAAGCACAAAACAAGTACTACGCCACAGAATAATTGAACCACAATCAACCGTATGAAGTACCTGAGAATCAAATAGGATATCCCCAACAAGGTGGGATCAAAGCTCTGTCAACAAGAAGCTCACCCCAAACAATTCCCGCAGACAGTCCAGGGTCAGAGTGACATTGATTCACTCAAACAAAATCGCAGTCGTAAAACAACACATTATCAATATCATCATAAACCACAAAGGGAAGCATTAAAGTTTGAGATTAAACAAGAACAGAGACAAACAATAAGGACTTGGTCAGTATATGACAAACAAACGCTAGGACAACGATATGTAGCCTAGGAGGGAAGAGGAAAATCATTACAAAGTAACAATATTGCAATTAGGTCGTTCTGGGAGTATTTTCCAAAAAGTTATTCTGTTATATTAGGTATTTGAATAACAGCGGTAATAAAAGCATCTGTTCCTTTAGTGTTTACATAGTATGACAAAGATATCTTGGTGTAAATATTCATAAAACCCCTTCTAAAACCCATCCTATTGCAGAAGCAAACTGAACATCAAATAACATGTTTAAGATACTTGAAATAACCCCATTATTCTAATTCATTATGTATAAGAATGTAGTGAAATTAAGCAACTAAACTCATTTACACTCTTACAACTCAAACTGTATATTTACTAGCTTGCAGTTATCACGTCGTAAAATAAATTTATTCATACTAATATGTTTTACATAACCAAGCAGAAAATTAGTTGGGGTAAAACTTCAGTAAACCAGATAGCATCTTGTAAATTTGAATACTACTCTTTTCTACCAGTTACTATGGTAACCCTGATAGACATACGACATTTCTAAATAATGTTATACATTAAAACTCAGTGATTGTCATTTCTGATGTTAGATAATATAGATGACAGGCACGAAGGTACTATCTAGTATGCTGCGAAGAGTACATGGCGTACTTTACTACGATACTTATATACATATATATATATATATATACTCGATTATCTTTCAAAGTATAAAAGCATTATTCTCAAGCGTTACAATTTTCTCAAAATTTACTGGTTACTTTATTTATTTTTGAAAAAAATGAAGATGGAAATAAGCATTCATAGTGTTGACCAATCAAATTTCAGAAAATAATTAACACATTTAACATACAGTTAATGAACTAGTGCCCCAGAAAAAGTGTATAGCGATTGGTTTTTATTATTCACTGTGAACAGTTATCTTCTAGTGCATATGTTTTTACGAAGCAGTGAAATTTCTTCTAGTTATAAGTTATTTATTACAAGATAACAGTAAACATTTGTTTATTTTCTTCTCATTTATGCTAAAAAAGAAATAGGAGACACTGATTTGTGATGACAACTTTTCTCATCTCTGATTGAATTATTGATCTTTCTGTGTTGTTTAAAGTGATGATTCATATAAGCACTTGGTTAATGAAAACGGAATTATTGTCTTAACTAATAAAACATGAAATCTAGTATCACATTAAAACATTTTATGATTACACTATATTTCTGCTTGGATATAAATGTACTGTGTTCTCAACGTAAACGTGATAAACTCACAGTTGCTGGTATACCTGGTGATATAATGCTTGGGGGATTATTTCCTGTACACACATCTGGTGCAACTACATGTGATTCAATTAATCCTGAAAGAGGAGTTCAAAGAGTTGAGGCAATGCTTTTCACTTTGGATGAAATAAATAACAACAGTAAATTATTACCAGGTTTAACTATAGGTGCTACAATCCGTGATACCTGTTCTGATACAAATCATGCATTAGAACAAGCATTGAAATTTGTTCAAGCGAGTCCTACAAGTTGTGTGACACCGTCACCATCATCATCACCACAACGGGGTGGACAAACAAGCACAGCTTCTCAACAACCAGAACAATTAATTACACGTGGAGTTGTTGGCGGTTCTTATAGTTCAGTTACAATACTTGTAGCAAATTTATTTCGGTTATTTTCTTTACCACAAATATCTTATGCATCAACAAGTGCTATATTGAGTGATAAACGTGCATTTCCATTATTTGCACGTACTGTACCATCAGATGTTGTACAAGCTCGTGCAATGGCTACATTAGTTTCAGCGCATAATTGGACTTATGTCTCTACAGTACGTAGTGCAGGTGATTATGGTGACTCAGGTATGGATGCATTTTGGAAGGAAGCTGATAAACTTGGCGTATGTATAGCAGCACGTGAAGTGATCAGAGGTAATACTGGTCCTGAGGACTTGGATAACATAGTTAATGTGCTTAGTAAAGACTTTGCTAAAGCTAGGGTTGTTGTCTTATTTACCGGCATGGATCACACAAAGTTATTATTAGATGCAGTAAGAAGAGCTGGCCTGGTAAATCACTTTGTATGGATAGCTAGTGATGGATGGGGCAGAGAAAATGTTCCAGTCTCAAATAATTCAAGGGAGGCAAATGGTGCATTGACTATAGAGATTCAAGCTGAGCCAATTAAACAATTCACTGATTATTATCTTTCTTTAGGCAGAGAGAATCATAGAAATCCATGGTTTCAAGAATACTGGCAAGAGTTAACACAGTGCAGAGAAGGTGTGACTGAGAGTAGAGTGAGGAAATCTACTGATTCTAAACGTTACTTTATGAGTAAATCACTGAAAAATGAGACAAATTTTGGAATTCTGAATGATATGCCAACTGAAAGATCATCTTATTCACCATCATCCTGTAGTAATAGACCAGATTTAAAACTACGTGACATTCTTGGACCTGATTTTAAACAGGAAGCAAAAATTCAATTTGTTTATGATGCTGTCTATGCATTTGCTTCAGGATTACATATACTTCAGCAGAAACTATGCCCAGGTAATCCATTGCATCCTATGTGGGACAAAAGAGGCTGTTTAGAAAAGATGCTCAACTATTCAGGAACTGATTTTTATCAATTAATGATCAATACGTCTTTTACAGGTAAGTTTATTGATAATAAGAACAATTTCTTAGTGTTATTGCTATATCTTACTGTTTATAATAATAATTCTTGCTGTCTAATGACTATGATGTCTTCGAAGATAAATTATGCGGAAAAAAACTGCAGGTGTCCCATTACCAATATCTGTGTACTATAAACTGAGAGTTATTGAAATATAGTACTAGCTAAGTCGAAGGCATGTACAATCTATATGGGTGGATGTCATTCTGTACTGAATCATCAAATGAAATTAAAAGTTAGCATGCGGTGTGTAGTTACATGTATAAATGACCTATGTGAATAATTTCACTTAAGGTAATTTTGAGAAAGTATTCTTAGGTGAGTCGAATGAAGAGGCCATTTACACTTCTTACCTGCATGTAGTACTGCAGATTCAGACCTATCCTACATTTTAAGACCTCTGAAAAAACTAAAATATCTTTCTAAAGTTTGTTTCAGTATTCCAAACGAGCATATTCCATCGTGTTTCTATGCTTAAAACCTTCTTAATATTTTTATATTTTTTAATATCATCTTAAAATGTGTCAAATGGAAAGGATAAAACACCATATTAAATTCTGCTTTGGATAGGTCACAAAATATCTGATAATACACGAAGCAATTTGGTTCACTTAATTGTTTAACATCATTTCTCAAATATCTTTGATAAATAATAAATCATCAGTTATCCATAAATGTTTAAATGCAATCCCTAGTGACCTCATAGTATTCTTTAGAAGGGTAATGTTCAATTCACTAGACAAGCTGACACAAGATGATCGTTTTATATGAAGTAATTATTTAAGCTCTTAGTCTAACAAATCGTATCCTCTCTGGAAACTAATACTGCTCATATATTGGTTGTTTAAAAAAAGATAATCATTCAAAAGAACAGAAGGTATTCAACATGCTAACAAATTGTTCAAATATGTAAGTTCCAATGTAAGATCTTATTGGAACAAGAACATGTAAATAAATTGAAATGTATTAGCTGAGCAGCGATCAACTTCATAAAATTTTTGAAAAACAGATACTCATTAGTGTTGTTCAAAAGGAAGTGCAAAATTTTATATCTTAGTTTTTTTTGGATTTATTAAGGATCACGATTTGAGCAAATACGTATTTTCGGTAAATTTTCATCAAGCTTTACATTTACATAATGACGAAATATTAGTCATAGGCATTTGAATTAATGTGGCTAACAAAATATAAGATCAGAGTTCAGAGATATGAATTAATGAATAACAATCAAGGTGATCTTAATCATAATAATAATAACAGTTAGAGAACCATTGAAAACCATGAAGTACTGGACAACTGTTTCATCCTAGTTTGGGGATCATCAGCAGTACACACCCACTGGAGTTCGGACTTAGGACCTTCCTGTTACAAGGCAAACTCGTACACCATATAGCAACTGGGACCCGACTCAATCCGTGGTCAAACTCGAAAAGCAAATCTAATCCTCACAAACCAAACTCTTGAAAATTAATCTGATGCTTGCTAGTGACTTGCTACAGGATGGAGTTTCCTGGAGTTCTGGTGAGAAGTTGTACCCAGTGAGGTCCATCCAGATGTCAAGTGTAAGGATGGATGTCCCACCGATGATGATGGTTGGGGTCGCGCTAAATCACGAATTGGTAGAGGTTAGAATTCATGGGAGATTGAATCGCGTCCCAGTGGCTGAATGGTATACGAGCTTGCCTTGTAACTAGAAAAGTCCTGAATTCGAACTTGGGTGATGAGTGCGTACTACCAGTGATTCTCAAACAAGGATGAAACAGCTATCCAGTACTCCTTGGTGGTTTTCAGTGGTTGTCTAACTGATATCAATCCATGGTCAAACTCGAAAAAACAAATCTAATCCTTACAAAGTCAAACTCTTAAAAACAATAATAACAACAACAAAGATAAATTGTTAAACCGAGAATATCACGCTGTCCTGTAGTTATACATCTTACTCTCGGTTTCACAATTTATAATAATTATTATATTATCTAATCGCTATATGACAATAGTTATTTCCCCCTTCCTTCTATCCTTACCAGTATACACGTCCTACACATACACTCACCGTTGCCTAGATTATATAAACGCCTGGATTAATTTATCCTTGTTATTATTATTATGATCACCTCGATTGTTATCCATTAATTCACACCTCTGATCCTATATTTTACAAACCACATTAATTCAAATGCCTATGACTAATATTTCACTATGTAAATATAAAGTCTGATGAGAATATACCGAAAATACATATTTGTTAAAATCGTATTGTATAACTATTAAGGATCATCAGTATCATCGAAAGGCGAAAATCAGCAGTTGATATTAATCACTGAAGTAATAAGGTATCATTCATGTAATTTATATATGATGGATTTGATAAATTTCCAAGACGGATGCATACTTGAATTTCAGGAATAATTCATTTTACTTTCTACTCAGTAATTATCAAGACACTTTGGCTATTTACATAAGGGATTTCTAGATATACTGTGTGATGTAAGTGAGGGATAAATGGAACACTTATTTTACATCTTAGGTTATATTCATACTACTAATGTTAGTAATATGGAATTTCAAATGTATGCTCTACAAAGCTTTTATTAAATGATATTGTTGTCACAAAATTGTGTAGTTGTGTTGTCAGAGTTCATATTGAAGTTTGCACTGAAGATGTTGTCTAGAAAGATAACGACAACTTCGCACATAGATTATTCACCTCAGAACGCACAACTACTTCAATACCATCCACCTGAGCTACAAATCTTCACTATCACTTCAACTGTTTCATTTGTTTGAAAAATCACTGCACTACCCACTTAAAGCGCTTACTGATTATTTATTTTGTTCGTTTGCGTTTTGAGTGGGCTTCAAGCTTTGAGTCTTGAAATTCCCCCCCTCCTTTACTTGGCTTACAACCAGCTAGGTGAGATTTAGGGCTGCATCTGACGGAAATCGAACTCCGGACCACATGAGTGGTTGGTGGGCATTCTACAACTGAACAACCGACGCTTTAATGAGCTCTAAGCATATTACCATAGTACAGCGAGGTAAATATACCACCTTCCTACCGAAACCTGAAACTAGATTGAATGGAATATTGAAACGTGAAAAATTAATCCCACAAAAGAACATGAGGATCATTGACATTGTTATTAAAACCACCTTGAATGTATCCAAAGTATTGTCTCTAATATTTGGAAATCAGAACATTATTAGAAATATTCATTTTTCTTATTGTGACTTTTCACACTTGAGAAGTTGTTTTTTCTGACGAATAGTAGTTTCTTTTGTTCAAGTTTGTAAATCAATAGGCCTTCTGACCTTGATAGAAAAACCAAGCCTTAAAAGTGTCAAGTTGAATAATCATATGGTTGAAATAACTACTTCCTGTTTCAGACGTGAAGTCCCCCCAAAAAATACAAAGTATGATTATTAAAGTGAGAGTTATTCACCAATTAAAATAATCATAAAAACTGAAACCTTTATATCTGGTGGATACCTTCATTTTCACATGAAGTGCATAATCGTTCAGCTGTAATTCCTATCTAAGTACCATATAATAAAAAAATAGATGGAAATAAAAATTTATCTCTAGCATAAGAGGAACACCTCAGTATTGGAGTATTCTAACATTTGTATCTAATATATATCATGCATAAAATGGCTATTATGTGGTGAGTGACGTATCTAACATAAGTTATTGTTAACAATTATGTCATCTGGGATGCAACAGATTAACTTCTAAGTTGGTTGTTTATTGAAGCTCTGTATGCTGCATAAATACATCAGGTCTGAATGCATCAACATACTTTAAAAATCATATTGAACATTCTTTCACCCCTATGTTAAGAGGGGAAATGAAATTAGAACCAGAAAATGCAGGTATAAACGTTACTGTTCTACTTTCGAAATGCGAACAGTAAGCTGGTTTCAAAATATTTTTTAGTAGAAAGCATTATTCGCTAATTTTGATGCATTATAATAAGCAAACGATTCTTGAAATCCAGATTATTGTTAGCAGTGTAAGTTTATTGGATAAACCGTTCATGAAAATCATTCATTACTGTTACAATGAAACTTTCAAGAGTTGGTTTGTAAGGATTAGATTAGTTTTCACGAGTTTGATCACGGATTGATATAAGTTAGAGAACCATTGAAAACCAGGGAAAACTAAATAGCTGTTTCATCCTTGTTTAGGAATCATCAGCCGGATGCACAGACTGGGGTTTGAACCCAGGACCTTCCTGTTACAAGGCTAGCTCATATGCCATTCAGCCACTGGGACCCGATGACTTTGGTTGGTGGTTGCGCTAAATCATGAATTGGTAGAAGTTAGAATTCATGGGTTGGCCATTGAATAGGGTCCCAGTGGCTGAATGGTATACGAGCTTGCCTTGTAATCGGAATGTCCTGGGTTCGAATCCTGGCAGTGGGTGCGTACTGCTGATGATTCCAAAACTAGGATGAATCAGCTGTCCAGTACTTCCTGGTTTTCAATGGTTCTCTATTTGATATCAATCCGTGGTCAAACTCGATAGTGAAACTTTGTCAAAAATTAAATATTGAAAAACAAGTTTTGTATTTTGATAACTGACTTGAATTTTTTTTTGAATGGAAGTATGACATGTTGATAATCAGTTTTTAAGTAGTCTCTTTTTCTTCCAGTATTTTATTTTTTGAAAATAAAATAACATTTGTCACTGCTGAGCTGAAAATGCAACTACGCTAAAACAGATTGTATCTGTCACTGAACAAGATTTAACTTACTATAAAATCTCTGTGTTTTTATTTGTCTGCATCTAATCAAGCATTGGGAGATAAAGTCATTATGACTACTCTATGACTTTATATTTATTTAGGTATTGCAAAATATTGTGTTTTGCACTGGTAATGTTTGACACAATCCAGAATAAAATTTAAGGATTTTATTTAATAGTTTTGTACAAATTCAAATTAAGCTGGATTACTGGTAGTGTTCAGGAGGTTA